TAAGTTTTGGGCTGGATTAGGTATTTTGGGCCATTTGAGGTGGTTTGGGGTGGTTTGGGGTTGAGGGGGAGGGGTTGGGGGTTAAATAGAAGAGCCAAAAAAAAAAAAAAATAACCGGTTAGGCCCGGCCCGGCCCGGTTTGGCCCGGAACCGGAACCGGAACCGCCCACCGGCGGTTCGGGCTCGGGCCCAACTTTCCTGGCCCGAGGCCCCCGAACCGGCCCGAGTCCACCCCTAGTCATCTATAAATAATTGTACGTTCTTTGTTATCCACTTCTCGAAAACTAATTATCCATAAGAGACGCTAGAAAGCTTTGACATATATCTTAAGCTTTGTCATAGCTTTCTAACTCTACAAATACCTAAAGTCCTAAACCTTGGCCGTTGACGGCTTATATTATAAAGAACGGTACTAGTTATAAAAAATCTCTATAAGATTTCAATTAAGTAATAGCGATAATGAATGATGTAGTATAAATAGAATATTTGTTTGGATTGAGTTTAAATATGAAAAACTACCTCATTTTTATTTTGTTTGCGACGTTATTGGATATGAGACAAGTTTTACCTTCATCGTCTGAATGTGGGAGAAAAAGTGTAGGCATTAAATAGAAGGGGACGACTGAGTGGAGGAAACAAATGGATGGTCTCGGATTGGAATGACGTTTAGGGAAGGCCTAATTTGTCAACTAAGAGTGGGCAGAATACTGAAGGGGAAGGTGTGGTGATAAGCAGTCTTGCACCGATACTTCACCCTGATGCTGTATCCTGATGCTGTATCCACGTATCCGATACCGATACCTCGATACATATCCTTTGTAAATTGTTGTATCGTCGTACCCGTATTCGCGTATCGACGTATCGACGTATCCGTGTCCGTGCAACATAGGTGATCAGCTTAAAAAATGTGTCGCGTGCAGGACGACTAGGGCAGAGCACGGGTCGGGTTTGGGCGGGTCGGGTTCAAAAATTGTAAACCCGTTCGCTTATTGGATTGATAATTTCAAACCCTACCCTATCAAAAAAATTATCGGGTTTTTCCGATTGAAGAAGTTCGCGTTTTTTTTTTGTCCATTCGGATTTTAATTTATTATTGTTGAAATTGTGATAAATTAAATGGTAATTGGTAAAAATATCATTCAAAGTTATACTAGTATAACATTCAAAGTAATAGTTGTATAAATACGGTAATTGACATATTGAACATGTAAAATAATTATATACGGCGATTGGCATATTTGATATTGTGATAAATAAAAGGGATAAGGGTCAGATAGGGCCTCGAACTTGAAAAAAAATGTCAAATAAGGTCATATTTAGGATGCTCTGTCTGGCCGACACCATTTGGGGTGGTTCTCAATGGAATTTTTTGATGAAATTTTTTGAGCATCTTCCTCATTAAGTCTAGTTTACCCATACCAAATTTCAGCTAAAACTTCAACCGGGAAGGTAGTCAAATGATTTTCCGAAATGTACTGCCTTGTTTAACTTCACAGTTATCTTCAAAAACTCATTTGACTGCCTTCCCGGTTGAATTTTTAGCTGAAATTTGGTATGGGTAAACTAGACTTAATGAGGAAGATGCTCAAAAAATTTCATCAAAAAATTTCATCGGGAACCACCCCAAATGGTGTCGGCCAGACAGAGCATCCTAAATATGACCTTATTTGACATTTTTTTTCAAGTTCGAGGCCCTATCTGACCCTTATCCCTAAATAAAATGATAATTGGTCAAAATATCTTTCAACGTCATAACAATACAACATTCAAAGTTATAGTTGTACAAATACGGTAATTGGAATATTTGAACATGCATAATATGGTAATTGACATACAATAATTGAGATATTTGAACATGCATAATAATTCTAAGTAGTATATATACTACGCTAGTTCGGATTTTTTCGGGCGGGTCGGGTAGCATTTTTAAAACCCTACCCGATATATGTTACCCTTAAAGATCAAGGTTTGCAATTTAGGATCGGCTAATCGGGGTCGGGTCATCCGACCCGCTAGGCGTACCTCGGGTATATCAGATCAGTTTTTCGGGTGGGATCGGGTTTTGCTCTCCCCTAAGGACGACATAAAGGGCGGATTGTTCCTTTAAGTGTCGATACAAGAGAAGGTTCAATGGTCCTAAACGAGAACATAGAGAAACGTTTATTGGGAAAACAAAAGCATACGCAAATTATACCGTACAACCGGACATGTTTTTTTTGTAATTAAATCTGGACCAGCGCAACTCACCAACGAACGACGACAACCAAATCCATTGCTCTATCCTCTTCTCTTCCAGGTTCCGGTGAATTTGGTCGCTTACTTCACTTCTCCATTGCTCTATCCTCGTCTCTTACTGCTTCTTTAATTTCAGAAGCACCCAAGCAATCAAATCACATCACAATAAAAACCATCTCATATTAAAAAAAAAACTCAAACAATCAAATCACAATTAGCCATCAAACTTTCCAGTTCTATGCATTTTTGTCCAAATAATTGAATCTCAATCTGGTTTATGTCCACTTCTATGAATTATCAGCTCTACTCATTCAATTTTGTGTTTATGTTGCCGGAGTCAATGGGGAATACATTGATGGATTTCATCACGCCGGCTTCCCAATTTCCCGACGCCACTTCATCATCACATACACAAATGAGTTTTAAGTTAAACTCAAATGAGTACAACTCCCAAAATGAACGTGCATACACAAATGAGATTTTGATTTTTTTCGATACTCGTTTTGCAAGTTGAGTATGCTCATTTGGTACCGATGTTCTGCTCATTATATTTAACATAAGACTTGATTATAAACTCAAGAGCACAAATTGTGATGCTCAACCGCGTGATTCTAATACTCAATAGAGCAGATTGAGTACTCAATTAAAATGTCTTCATGGTCAACTAAAAAAACTTACGACTTTCATATCAATGCTCATTTTATATGTTACATATACTCAATTGGTACTAATATTATGCTCATTTTTAAAATGTTATATCAATGCATATTTCAAAAGTATCATATTGCATTAGATTTGCATATTGAAGTTCATAGGAGTTGATTATAGATATAATTTAATAAGATTTTATAAAAGAAAAAATAATAAAAAGAAAGTGAATTCGAAGATAGGAAGCAGAGATCACGATGCTCATTGTTAGACTTCTAATGCTCAACAAAATATGTCTGATGCTCACTAAAAATGCATCAATGTTCATTTAACAGAAGACACGAATTTTATTTAAATTACTAAAAGCATTTCTAAAATGTTACATTAGGCCATCAATTAAAATGTTACAAAAGGCTAATGCAATGCTTTTATGGGCGTTACTTCATGTCTTGTTGCATAAAGTTATATGCAACACTTTTATCATGTTATGCAAGAATGATTTAAAGTGGTGCATGAATGTCCCTAAATTATAACATCACATCTATCATCAATGACACCATTATAATATATACCCATCAAAACTATTTCTCAAAATATATTTGAATTACCTCATTTAATTGTTGTCTAAATAACCATGTTATTTTACAATTAGAACCTTTAAGCGTGACGGAGGCAGCAATGTTCTATCATGATATAGAAATAGTGAACTCAAAATGCTTTAAAAACTTCAATTTATAGCCTTTTGCAAGTTAATTTTGATGAAAAAACTAGGTGTACACTAAAATGTGTACACTTTTTCTGTATGAGTGGGCAATTCGATTTACGGTTCAGTTTTTATGGTTTTCGGTTTATTCGATTGGAGAAATATTGTATCAAAGTAAAATCATTTGTATTCGGTTTGATTATGGTTCGGTTTCAAATTCAGTTTACCAAAGTGAAAAGTACGAAGTATTAGTCCAATTTATTTTGATTTGATTCGGTTTCATATATATTATTTTATTTGACCAGGCTATATTTTAGAATTAGAAAATGAAAATAGTAGTTCATCCCATCTTATTGTATTTACTATTTATATAAAATGTAAAGGAAAATAAAAGATAGAAAAAGAAATAAAAATTGATTAGCACCTAATTTTAGAAAAATATTAATCTGAATAAATTAACACCTAATATAATTTATCTTACTAAGACCGGTGACATGGAACCGTCTAGCATCTTTTCAATATTTAGTGAAAAATAAACATAAAATATAGTTCATTATACATTAGATAAAATATATTTAGTTAATGATTTTAATTATTATATTTGTATATAATTTATACACAATAGATTTTATAGTTTTAGGAAAATATTTTGAACAAGGAATACTATAATATAATTTTTTTGTTTTAAATAATTTCAAATTAAAAAAATATCATTGACAAAGTTAATCGTTATTGACCAATAAAAGTTAATTTACCAAATCTTTTCAGAATCAAAGGAGTAGATCTTTTACAAATACTCCGTATTTTGTTTATTTCTTAGCACTCCTTATAATGTAACAACAAAAAATCCTCGATGTTATTAAAATAATTACAAATTTATGTTTAAAAATAGCAATGTGAGATGTTAATATATAGATAATGTTTGAAGCAAATGTAAACACAGAGCATGTAGTGTAATTGGTGAGCATGTAGTGTATTTGAGCCTTTTTCCTTATTTCTTTAAAGTCAAACGAGGACTTTAATTTAGGGACGGAATAATAACTTTGTCATATTTAATACTTCGTACTATCTAAACTATGTATATTAAAATGATATATTCTAAACATGTATTTTTGATATCTAAACTATTTTTTTTTAGTAAATCTAAACTATTTGTTTATATCTTAAAGATGAAGAATGAAGACAAACACAAAATATTTGTATAAATATTACAAGTTGTTCGGTGTTCGATTCAATTTACGATTTTTCGGTTTAAAACCAAACAAAACGATTCGATTTGAGCAAATTATTTGTGTATACACACCTTAGTTGTTTGTATACACAGTCAACTCATTTAGAAAAAAATAACAATTATTTGTTTACAAATGAGAGGTGTATAAAAAGTGTACAATTTTAGAGTTTTTTATTTGTACAGCAACAATACCTCAATGTTGGTTTATTTTAGTTGATAAAAAAAGAAGAAATAAATTAAAAAATCAAAGTGCTTGAAATTCCGTAGAGCTGTCCAAGTTTCCGACGGCGGACATAAAAAGAACTTCCAGCGGCGGCTGCGGTTTTCCTCCCTAGCAGCATCTATATTTGTTTTTCGGCATTTTCCCAGTTTTCCTTGATACCTCTTCATTGTGATAAATTGAGTATTTATATCTTCATTAAATTAAAAGAGTTTATGTAAATAATAATGTAGTGATTGTAATCAATACCTATACAAAAGTATGAAGTGACAAAGAACTGTTCGTATCAAGAGCCTTCTTTCATCCATGCATAGATTTATACCTGCTGATAGATGACGTTTTGATAAATCATAAGCAACGGATCCAGATTCTTGGTCACTCCTCCTCTCAAGGAATTGAACAAGGGATTAAACCAAAACCAAAACAAGGAAAAGAAAACGTTGGAGGAAATTGGGTTCAGTACCCACACTTTCTGTTAGCAGCTGTGTAATTCAGAAGTTCCTCGGAGCGGAGGGAGGGAGGTTGAAGCGAGATCGGGCAACTGATGAGATGAGATTGGGCGGCAGATCAGGCGGAGGAGCAGCTGCCGGAAAGCCCAGAACGGCGAAGTTGGTGTTTGTATGCGTGGGGCTGTTGGGGGCAGCTCTCGTAGCAGATCTGCTTTGGGCTTCATCTTCCTCTAACTGGGCTGTCCGGGATTCCATTAATGTCATCTTCCCAAATCAGACCAACCTCCTACCTAAGGTCACACTCATTGAGATATTTCTCTACTTTTTGTTCCCATTCTGTTTGATTTAATCATAAAGAGGAAGTTTAACGTTTTTCTGAATGAGATTCTTCGCTTAAATAAGCTTCTATGCTGCTGCTTGTATGATTGTTTGTCAATGCCTTTGAAATTTCTAACTTTTCTGATGACGCATCTTGATCTGGTGGCTCAAAACAAGCATTCTTTATTTATTACAGGGCTCAACCGAGAAGGGTAAAAAAGATGTTACTAAAGAGAGGAAATTATCTGCTACTTTTGCAGATTTGCCAGCCCCTGAATTGAAGTGGGAGAAGATGGCTTCTGCACCTGTGCCTCGGCTCGATGGTGCTGCCATACAGATCAAGAACCTTCTTTATGTCTTCGCTGGATATGGAACCATTGATTTTGTGAGGATAACGACTGCCACCACCCCTCCCCTTTTCCTGTGGGACATCATGCGGTTTTTAATTTGTATTAGTCAATTTGCTGGTCTCATTTAGTGGCATTTTGTAGTCCAAATTCCTTGCTCTATCAAAATCTAATTAAAGGGAAAATGTAGGATTCTAAACCAATAGGGCTATGTTAGTATGTTTGGAACAAGGATAATGCTATGAGAAGAGATCGTGTCTTTTATGTTTGGTTTTAGTATGGAAAATGCTAGGGGAAATCAATTTTGGTTGAAACTTTTTAAAACTATACACATATTTTGATCTTTGTCTTTGTATAATTGGAATACATAAATAAAAAGAGATTGAGAAAATATCTAAAATTGATCTAATGTTTTTGAACCATTTTTTGAACTCCCCCAACACTTTCTTTCCTTCCAAATATTCCTTCTATTTTTGTCCCTATTTTCTTTCCTTATAATTGTCCCAGTTCGAAACAGGCCCTAGCTGTGTTATCCTTTTAGGATGGCAATCTATTGGCTTGCCAACACATTATAAATATCAAACTAGATTGGCTTGCCAACACATTATAAATATCAAATGCGAGATCTTTTAATCTGGTTTATATCTACTCCTATGCATGACAGAGCAACCTTGAAAAATGACATTGAACTTATTATCACACTACTGAACTCGATCTTTGAAGATAAATTGATGGGCCTCGTTGTATTCTTTCATGGAACAGGTCCATTCTCATGTTGATATATACAACTTCACAGATAACACATGGGGAGGGAGGTTGGATATGCCCAAAGAAATGGCTCATTCACATTTGGGTATGGTAACAGATGGGAGATATATCTATGTTGTCAATGGACAATATGGTCCCCAGTGTAGAGGCCCTACAGCTCACACATTTGTGCTAGACACTGATACGAAGAAATGGCAGAACATGCCTCCTCTGCCTGTCCCAAGGTAAGAAGATCTGTAAAATTTGATTACGTATCAGGGTTAAACTTTTTCTTCTTTCAATGTTTATCTCATAGAGTTGTGCCTGGGATATATTTTACTATGTATCACATAGTATATTTAAGGTAGTATGTGTTATATAATTTTCTGTAACTCCTTTACAGAACACACAACCACAAATTCTGTTGTGAAATTTGGAATATCATATACTCATAAGTTCATCCTCTCTTTAAAGCATGTACATGAAATAAAGAAGTTATAGAACAGTTATTTATGGAGTACTGTTTTTCTCTTAGTACTAAGGTCCTCTTGATTATTGAGTTTCTAAAGCATAAAGCTTGAAGTTCCAAGGTCTTAGCTAATTAATTATAGCATGTTCAATCATTTAATGCAGGGTCATTTGCAAATACTTTGTGTAATTAGTGCTTTAATCATAAGTGCTTTCATTTTTAAGCACTTAAAGTGATTTTTTGAAAAGAAGCACTCATATCCTTTCCTAAATAAGCATTCAAGGTATTTTTTAATTTTTTGAAGCACTTTTTCCATTGTTTGAAGTACAAGTGTTTTCCTTCATCTAAAAAGCATTTAAATCTTGAAAGTCAGTAATCCCAAACACTCTAGTAGTTTCTAATCTAGAAGTAGATCATCCTAACAAACCGATCCTAATGTTTCTGTAAAAGTATGAAGGTTATTAACAAGTGGATTTCAGATATGCGCCTGCGACAACACTTTGGGGTGGTAGGCTTCATGTCATGGGTGGGAGCAAAGAGAATCGATTTACTCCAGGATTAGAGCACTGGAGTATAGCAGTTAAAGATGGGAAAGCATTAGAAACAGAATGGCGCCCTGAGATACCCATTCCTCGTGGCGGTCCCCATCGGTATTATATTTTCTCATTTTAAATGTTAGCGTAATGTGCACATATTTCTCTACTAAATTTTCCAGTTTTCAAGTGATAAAAGTTTTCTACCACTACCTCTGCCCTACTATCTTTAGGACATGAGAAAGTGGGACACATATTAAGAAAAGAGGAATTATGTGGTTGATATTAAAGTATGTATGAGTTTGAACCACAAAGTATTACCAAATATGGAATGGAATAAGCTTAACGGGACGCACAAAAAAGGAATATCAGACAAATATAGTGGGATGTAGGGAGTAATTGTTTCACTTCAAGGTTTAGGATTTGCCCGGGGAAAAGAGGGAGTGAACATTCATCTTCTCATATATTTGGCTAGGGTAGATGGAAGGGGAATGGGTAGACGCTCTTCTTACTTCTGTTCACCTTAAAATGTCATCCTGCCAAGTTATAGTCAAGTGGAGGGAAAGGAAACGAATCCCACTCAAAATCATTATTTTTTATAGCTTATGGTATTTTCTCTCCATTTCATTTATAATCCAAACAAGAGAAAATCGTCATCCTTTATAGTTACTAACTTCTTCCTTTCCTTTACTAGACTTATCCCTTCCAAAGTCCAAAACACATTATGATCAATTTTCATCTCATCATTCATAATTTCTGCTTTTCTATCTTTTACAAACCTCCTTCTCCCTCAATCCGAATTCCAAATCTCTATTAAAAATCGCTCTCATGGATGATTTGCCCTCAAAGACGTACTATAGAAGAAGAAAGGGAGGGATAATTGGTGAAGTTGTTGGATATCTATTTGTGACCGCCATACAGTTACAGTAGTACATACTGTTACTGTGTGTCAATTTTTTTTTTTCTAAGCTACCGAGTGATTTTGTTTTATTTTCCTTTTTCTTCAAACATTTGAGTAGGTACTAGCATAGTATCCTAATACTGCATCATGCAGGGCCTGTGTTGTGTTTGAAGATCGGCTTTATGTTATTGGTGGTCAAGAAGGTGACTTTATGGCCAAACCTGGATCACCTATTTTCAAATGCTCACGTAGAAATGAGGTATTAAAGCAAAACACTTAAATAGTCTGATTGCATTGTCCATGGTTGATCTGTAATTGCAGAGTTTGTTTAGGGCTAATCATTCCCACTCGTTTATCAAAAAATTGACCCGAAGATTTGTTTGAATCGAGAGGATTAGTTCACTTGGTGTTTAAATTTGTTTCGATACAGGTTGTGTATGGTGATGTGTACATGCTAGATGATGATATGAAGTGGAAGGTGTTGCCTTCAATGCCTAAACCAGATTCCCATATTGAGTTTGCCTGGACAATAGTTAACAGATCACTTTTTATCGTCGGAGGAACAACAGAGAAGCACCCAGAAACCAAAAGGATGATCCTTGTTGGAGAAGTGTTTAGGTTTCATTTTGACACACAGGTCCCTTTCTTTTATAGTGATAGATGCTTATATGAAACACCGTGTTTTTTGAACTATTTCTAACCATGATTTGTTAACTTCGCCAGAAATGGGAGGTGGTTGGGAAATTGCCTTATCGTGTGAAAACCACTCTTGTTGGATTCTGGGATGGGTGGTTATATTATACATCTGGACAACGAGACCGGGGGCCTGAAGATCCTGCCCCAAAAAAGGTTTTGGGAGAGATGTGGAGAACTAAGTTGAAGTTATGAGCCTTTATCAGAATATTCACAATTTGAGGAAGAAATCAGTTTCAATTTTGAGAGCTTTTTTATTATTAGGACTTCCACTTACTGTGGGTGTGTAAATCTTTATGAACTTGTGACTTTGGATAGGTAAAAGGTTGCAAGTTCAGTTTGAATCTCAGATATACAAACAAAAAAACTATAAAGATCAGATGATCGGCGTAATATTTGTGCCGATTTTTTGTGTTATGTTATATTTTTGTGAGATGAAAGTTCGACACTTAACAGTACGGGCAAATTTGTAACCTGACTCCCTGTCCTCCCCAGCTAAAATCTCTGAATCTCAAATTGGAAAGTTTCCCAATCTGTGGTGCATGAATGTGTGATCACTCAGTTTTTCCATGCATGCATATTTTCACTAAAATCTTGATTTTCAATATGCTGGGGACTTGGGAGTTACTTGTAAGGAATCTGGAAGTAAAGGAGCGTGCAGGAAAATATTTTAACTTATTAAGTTACAAGTCAAAAGATTATTGTTCTGTTTGTTCTATTGGCAAACATAAGAAGCTGAACAAGTCATTTTGTTTACTGAACGACACTTTTTGCCATAATCCATTACACTTATAGTGAAAGTATGGCACAAGGGAAAGTGAGTGGTACTGGATTTTGTGAAGCTTAAATGTAAAATCCGTTGGCAATGCAACAGGAATGATACAATAGTGCAGTCAAGGAAGGACTTGCAAACTGCATACTTTGGGGTGGACTCGATTACGGGACTGCAGTGGAATTGAATCCAGCGGTTCTATGAGCGGATTGATATTAGGTTTTAATGATCGGAATCAGCAACTAGAACAAGTCCAACACGCTACTGGAATCGGCCAGTTCCAATTCAGTATTGGTCCTTCCCTAATCATTTATACCATGAATGTTGTAAGATATTTAATTAACAATAATGATATAATACGTAGTATATATGTACTCATACTTCCGGACACCTAAAATAGAAGAAACTAACAATTGTTGTTACGCGTGGACCTAGTATGGTTCTAGTCCCAGATCGGCCGGTCCTTAGGAGTGGCAGTGTGGGAACTAGGACCGGGACCTCTATTCCTGATCCTGAGGGCCCGATTGGTCCCGATCCGATCATGTTTTTTTTTTTCGAACCCTGCCAACTCGGAGCAAATCTTTTTCATAATTGTCGTTAGGAAATACCAAACCATTTAACCCTTTACCCGGCGCCGTCCCTCCTACCAACCTTTTTTAACTTTTAAATGAATTCACACTTCCTTTAAAATGTGATCGAAATGTAAAAAAATGGCCCCAAAATTGCAGCCTAGGACCGGTCTCCGTGAACCACCCCAAGGCCAATCTCTTGACCGAACCACCTCTAGTGGTTCCAGCCGATCCAAGAACCGGGCAATCCGATCCCGAACCAATCCTGAGGCCGGGACCGGGTCCAACCATAGATGGGACTGTCACTTTTCACCCTTCTCTGCCCTTGTTGTTGTAGGAATTTAGGCGTCCTCCACATCCAATGGCTAAAATGATTTTCTTCCATTTTTTAGACCTCGAATAATCTAGACACGAAGAATATTAGAATACTCACTTATTAATAATACGGAGTATATAATATTGTATTGTACTGATAATGTTGTAAGCTAACGTATGTTACTAATATTGATAATAATGTTGATTCTTCTTCCAGTCTGGAATCCATCCCTTCATTCTGCCTTGACTTCATCATTTTCAAAAAGAACCTCAAAACGGCAGAACCCGGAGAAAAGAACATTTTCATTCTCTTAAACAGAACCACATTGAAGTTAAGATAGTTTGGGCAATTGGTTGTAAAGCTGATGGTTGCAGCGATATTATTGAATCCCAAGATAAGATTATAAGATTATTGTTTCCAATCTCCTTTCCATGAAGTGTAAAAGATAAGATTATATTGCTAAAATTACAATTGAGTCCTGGAAATGGTTGGCGTGTTTAAGCCTTTTTCCATTGTTTTATGACGACTCTGTTATTGACTGCTGGAGCCTGGCACCAACCCCAGACCAGAAGTGGCGTCACTGGTAAATGTGGGTCTGAGTCTACAGAACATCTACTCTATCAAATATAAGTTCACTTGATCAGGGGTTAAAAGCGTCATCTTCCCATATAAAAGTGTTAAGTGGCAAAAAGCTTCCGGCAGATGTTCATTTCTGCAAATGATAGAGTTTGCCTGTATCAATCAATTTCCAGAGAGCTTCTTTGGCTTCATCAAGCGTTTCAATTGAATGTTCTGCTTGGAATGACATCCTCTGAATGTTGAACTGCAGCAGATCTCCAAATATTTAAAGGCAGGTATGATGGTACAAACAGATGCAATTCGAACAAGAAAATATGCTTACAGATGGTGCTCAAGTGAGTGGGTGGTCCATCGTTGGATCGAGTTTGGGCACCCGGGTTTCGCAACCAGACCGCACTGGGACAGAACTATTCCGCACTGGGACCGGTTATTTACCCGGAGTCAGAATCGGAAAAACCATTCCAGACAGAACCAGTCCAGTTCCTCCAAAATAGAACCGGACCATACCAGTTCTGTTTTTTAAATACGATATCTTCAGAACCGACCCAAGGACTGGAGAGAACCAACCCGAGAACTGACCAGAACTGGACTGAGTATAGTAGTATACCCGGTTAGGTTCCACGTCCAGACCAGGTCAACCCCGGTCAACCCCTATTCACATTTGTGTGTGGGCGGGCAGTCCAATCTAACGGTCTGGACACCTCTCAGGAGCACTATTTGAGTGGAACCAATTGACAAAACCAAGTGAATATATAAAGTACCTGAGCCCCTTGACGAACGCGGATATCTGTGCCCTTACTATCTATTGATATGAGAGCCACATCATCCACCTCAGCTTCTTGGGACAATAGCTCTATCAGGGGCTTTGAAAACACCGCATTTAGTTCCTGTATGGATAGCAAACATCACTCAGCGGTTTTCTTTTAATTTTGGGAGACCACGGATTCAACTCAGTAAAGAAACCAAGAGCGCAACAAAAAAATGAGTCACTTTGGTTATTGCCACAATTTAGCGTCACTTTGATCAAGCCACAGTTCTGCTTATCTATCACAGCAGCCAATTTTTTCCCCAACCACCAATGTATTTGACCATGCAGAGCTATATCAGTTGATAATGAAAAAAGAAACGCAAAATGACACTCTTATCTTTATTTATATGTGTGTATAACTTTATTTTACTAAGAAAATAAATTTACATTATTTGTCAGCCAAATTTACCACTACTAAGGATTTTCAACCTCATACTTATGCATCACCTAGGTCCCGCCGAAAACCCCACATATGCCACTTAGGCACCTATGCCAGCCAGGCACTATCTCAACCTACCGTCTAGATGCTTTTTATAACACTAATTGGGGCTAGGCGAGATGTAAAAATAATGCTTATAAATTGCGAAAATCAATTGCACTCAGTGATGAATTATACCCCAACATAAAATTTACTCTCACCTTTTCCTTTTTTCTTCATATTTGACCTTTTCATTTGTTGTTAATAAACTGATGTTTTAGAAACAACGAATGAGAGAAAATTTTTGCTTTAATCATTTGAAACAACCAGGTATCTAAATCGTTCACAATTCTTGTAACCAATATCCTCAAACATAAAAAACAACAGCATCCAAGCTTTAGTCCCAAAAGAGTTTGGGGTTGGCTAACATGAATCGACATATGAAATCAGAGCTGAAAAGGATAAAAAAGATAAGATAACTAGATAAAATTTAAAAAAATTATATTTCTGTGCAGCACGTAAAATAAAGCATACCTTTAGGTATTTTTCAGTCCCTTGAACAACAATCTTATCAGGCTCTAGGGTCTCATATTCCTTGGCGTCAACCCAAGCAACAGTTCCAAAGCCTCCTATGAAGTATATATCACTGGCAATGGGGATACATCCAGTGAGTTATTACAAGCATAACAAAAATATTAAGAATCATGAAACCGGATATGAAGCTTAAAGATCTGCATGTGCACTTCATTAGTTTAACAAACCTTATATTGTTCATCCTAAAGTAACAAAAGTTCGCCCACTGTTGAGAAGGGCCTTGTTGATGCTTCATTATGAATTGCTTATGAGCCCACTCCTAGAAGGACATCCAGGACACCAGGATATGTGTATAAACAGTCTTAAGAGCAATAATAGAATGAGAGAAAGACAGAGAGAAAGACAAATAATGACAATAAATATGCTTATGCACATATAACTAATACCACAACAAATTTGCAATTTTTTTGTAGAGAAGAAGATAACAAATTGAAGAAAATGCATTGCAAATTTAACTACCTACCTGTTGATCTTCTGGGAGAGGATAGATGTCACCAAACATGGTTACTCTAGCATTTGACAAGCCAGTCCATCCAGGAACCTGAAAAAAACAAAAGATCATACCACTAGACCAGCAAGGACAATATGTACTTCATAGAATCTAAGGATGGGTTTGACTCGGGAGGGAAAGAGAGGGGCAAAGACTTACCTCTCCCTTATTTAATTAAAAAAATGGACGAAAGGGAGTTTAATTTTTGTTCTCCCCAACCCCCCCTCCCCCTCAAACCAGACACACGTTACATGTTTGGTGTAAATCACTGACCTGGACAACTAGTGTACACCTTGGGTCACCTAACAAGTTTCGAGTGTGTATAGCTAATGGTGACAATAAAAGTATCGGATCTGCCAACAGGAATCAAAGAATTGGAATACAACATAATCAAGCCATGACAAGGTTATTGGCTTAGAGATGTGCCACAAGTTGTAGTCACTTACGTCCCATAGGGTCGGCAACAAAATCAACAAGTGAACCAAATGGATAACCTTCTCGTCTATGATGCATTCGAGACATCAAGGTGCACAAATGAGCAAACCTGGCCTGCAAAATTGCAATGCAAAGAGTGGAAAGTATAAAACAGCTGTAAGTAGGTTATATTATTTCTTGCAAAATTGCAATGCAAGTAGTGGCCTTCTAAGGCTTATTCTGCTTAATAGCATAATAAGTAGCTTTTCACTTGCTTATTTGACTAAATACATGCTACCAAATGCATTTCTTTTCAGAAAATTCAACAGACTCGGCCATGCCAATTCAGTCAAACAACCCTTACCAAACGGAAATAAAGCATACCTGCTCCATTAGATTGCGGACTGCTAAAGCAGGTCTGTGTAGACCATGAGCTGAGGTAGCACTTTGTACGCCGCCTGATATTGGGGCCCTGAAAAGCCCAGCTCTTGTACCTCCTCCCCCCGTTGTGCTTCCAAGTGAGACTCCAAGGGGCATCATCATTTTAGGTATTTCATTTATATTATGTTCATGGCTTG